TATGCCTTTATCTATTGAAAGACTAATATTCGCTACCTGCTGCTGTTAGGTAGGTCTTCCTGTGATTGCTTTTGGTTAGGAAGTAAGTTCCTCAAAGTTAAGTAGCAAATTAATGAAGTTTAAACGAAGGTATTCGATCCATTTTGTTTCTCTAAGAATCCGAGCTGAGCCTAGAACAATTAATCTGCCTCATTGTACTATCGCGTAGTGCAAAACGTTTGTATTTTCTCACGCTGATTGAAGACTTGACTAACACAGTGAGAATTTGTTGTTTCTGTACATTTGAGGATGCCTTTGTCGAGAATGGCGACAAGGTTATTACCTTGTATCATCTAAGCTCAGAGGTTGACTTTATCGATTGTCATGTGATCACTGGTTCACATGTTACTGCCCATTATACTTGCAGGGCAATGGAGGATGCAGTAGAAGCAAGAGAAGGTGCATTTTATGTTCTCTATCAAGGACCACATAAATTCAAAGTTGTTGAACATGAAGTTGTTATTCACTGGAAATCTGCAATTTCACTGCGAGCATTAACTCACCAAACCGAGCATAACAACGCTGTTTCATTATTCTCCTGCTCCCAGATGCCTGGAGGATTATTTAGAGAGGGCAGAACTTCATGCCATTCTGGTAACAGCAGTACGTTAATTTATCGCTGAAAAGCATCGTTAGTGATGGTTTATTAACCGACCATCCTTATTATTTTATTCATTCATTTCTGAAGTCCGTTATTCGTTTTGGGACTGTAATTTCGTGAGGCTTTTCCAATTGTTCCCGTTCTGACTTTTGGGTATCTCAGCTAATTTCGTTAAACACTGTCTCAGATGTTCCAGAACTGTTTTTATAACATCTTGCATTTTATTTGTAACTTATAACACTGATGATGACCCCTGGTGTGCAGCATCCAGACACGTTGGTAAATAAAGGATTTTACATAGCCCTTTTTTTAAGTATTGTCTTGATCGATGGGTAGTAAAGCGAACACTATCTTAGATCTAAATTTTATCGTGGCACTGTCATTTACTTATTACCAGTAGTGTTTCCGTTACGCATTAGGTGCTTTGCCATAACAGTAATTCTATAGTACTAACATAAGAAACATGTAGGTATATAACATTGTATATGCAGCAAATGCATTGGTAAATTTTGTTATGTTTTCTTTGCATGTAAAATTGAGCCTGGTTTTAAAGCACTTTACTGTGAACTCTATTCATAGCGCATCTGTTTGCCTCTAATCTATGGACTCTTTGGCGTCAGTCCGGTGAAAAGGGTCACCGGGATCGGTACACAGTTGAGAATTCCCACGTAGAACACGATAGG